TACAACAGATGTTTGAAGGCAAGCCCTGCATAACATGCTGGCTGTGGAAAGGCAGTTTTCCAGAAGTAAGCATCTGCCTAAGCTTTTGTAGACCCTGGGCCAGCAGTTCTGGCTGAAAAGCAGCAAGACCAGTCTTGCTTCTTGCGTGAGATGCTGGAACATGCTGCCTCTACTGGAGCATCCCCTTGGAAATTTTCTGTTATTCCTGAAGAAAATAAGTAAACTGCTCCCTTTCCCATGCCAAACCAAAGAAACCTGTGAAGACTTCAAAGCTGGAAGAATGAGATTCTGAATGTTACAGCACTTGAACCTATCAGTTCCCAAAGGCAATCTCTGAAAATGTGGTTCCCATCTCTTGCCTCATTCTCTGATGTCTTCTTCCCAGACTGTGCAGGACTGCAGTCTCTTGGTTTCAAGAGCATGCAGATATTGATGTAAGATTGCGGCAAGCTCTGCTTTGCAGATTTCCCTTTCCAGATCACCCTTGGCTGCTTTTCAAAGCCGGTACACATCCTGACTTCTAAGGAAAATACCTTCTCCATTGCTCCCCTCCACTGCAGCATCCCAGCCTGTGCAATTAGTGAAGACCATGGTTTTCAGCATACTTCCCTGCTCCATGAGCCTTCTAGCTGCTCCAAGCATCCAGTGGTTTTTAGTCAAGTAAGAACCTAGCCATGCCTTCCAGACCACACTACAGGTTCTCTCCTCCAAAACCTTTGCTTAAAAAGCACTGCTGCTCCACAGGAAGCAACTTCTATCTCTGGTTTGGCCTCAGGCACATAGACTCCTTGAGGCATTAGACACATTAATTCCTCCTCCGTTAGCAAGCACATCTGTATCTTTCTCCTCCTTGCCCAGAAGGCCCAAAAACATCATACAGGTCACAGAAGGGGATTGAACATTGGCTTCTGACTTTTCAAACAGAAAACAGGCAGGGGGTTTATCTAAAAACACACACACAGAAGGTTTTTAAGTGCAAAGGAGTCTGTGGCATTTGGGATGCCAGCAGGACAACTGCCTCATTCTCATACCCCCCACCTCCGGGCCAGTTCCGTGCCTGAAGCTATACTCAGCATGGGACTTGCTGACATCAAAAGCAAAAAAAAATTGCTTGGCTGTTTAGGCTGGCTTAAAGTGAATACTCCTGGCAGGTTTTAAGCCTAGAAAGGTTTCAAACATTGCATCTTTCCAGCATGCTCCTACAATGATACAACGGGTGTGTAGGCAACCATGAATCAAAACTGCTTGCTCCCTATGGACCCATTACAAGACACGTCTCTGTCCAGGATGTCATGGGATGTGTTTTCTGTATACAGAGCAGATAAGATGAAGGACCTCAAGGGAAATGCACATCTCTGTCCAGAGTGACAGCATACCTTAATCATCCGGCTTGGTGAAAGCACTGAGAATAAAAGGACAAGTTGCCACTTGAAAAGCAAACTTCAGTATTAGCAGTACACAAAGACTGCCCTCTGGAAACTGTTTAAATACGTGGAGATTTCAAATATATGAAAACTTGAGCAAAACTATGAGCAAGTGAAGGATGGCTAACTCAATCATCACTGCAATTTATGAATTATTCACTGTGCTCCAGCCCGCATGCATGAGGCACACTTTTTAACACACTGTGAGACTACATTAAAGATGGCTCCCTTTCGTCTGTGCTGAGAAGTCCCTTGGACACATATTTTGCAGTAATGCTACTGGGAAAAAACATGCTTGGGTCAACTCCTGTGCCTACAAAGGGAAGGTGGTCCCCTATCTGCCTGCTGCAGCTCTAGGGTAGCCACAATGGAAGCCAGCACAATTTCTATCTCTCATGGCTTGTGGCATTGCTCACCCTTTCTAGACACATGTTTTCCAGCAGAAAAACACCAGCAAAATCCCCCAGAAACAACAGAGGTTTGCCGATTGCAAGACGGTTACAGGAAAACTAGTCCTGTATTGGAGCCTAGGGCCACTGCGTCCTGCATGGATCAGCCCCACCCTACGTACTGTGAGGTCTCCAAGGACTGAGAGAACAGAAGAATGCTGTGGTCACCAATGGAGATCAGCAATCAGCCTCTTCTTGTGCATAAAAGTTTACTGTTTCCTCTCTGTATTTCCAGATCTGACTTTAAAAGTTCAGAGGAAAATTACATCACTTTGAAAATGCCAGATGGATTGATAGCACCAATTCTTTTACTCATTATTTAAACAGAGGAGAGAGGAAGAGGGACAAATTATTTTGGCGAAAACCACTATTTCTTTCTCAGGAAGTAATCCCTTTGAGAGTTTCACCCAGAGGTAGTTTCTGCTGCCAAAAGCTGCCATGCCCAGAAGAGGTGCTGCACATGAGGACTTACTGCCTGCACATTCTTTGCAGTTCTGAAATGACCACGGTCTTCTTGGGATGGACAAAAGCCAAACTAACAAAACAGACCCTAGCATTTCTTTGCAGTGCTGGGTTACTGCGTATGTGCCAGCACGACTCCAGCAGCCAGATCTATCCCATGGCATGTATTTTTTCAATTTCCTGCAGCCAACAGATCTTGCAGCAGGATTTCTCCTACTGCTGCAGTTGGCCATGTGTCACTGATTCAACTTCATTAACCAGCCTCTGTGAAAATATAATCACCATCAGAAAACCTGTGCAAGGGAAAAGATGAGACTTAAGAGCTGCACCTCTTGGAGGTAATTCCAGGAGGAAGGTGGGTGGCCTGAGACTCCCTGAAGCCACATGAGCCCTGCCTACTCTTACTTGAAAACGGACTGTTGAAGCGAGTCTTTATATCCAGAATCACTGGGCATAGACCACTCCATTACTTGCCTCAAAGGACATTTTTTGTAGGCACCTTAAAAAAAACAGATACTCACTTTCCAAGTTTGGCAGTTAGTCTGACTTGCCAAGTCCCTCTTTCTGTCTGCTTTATTTCTGGCATGGGCAAACTGACGATGGCCCAGGGGAGTGCTGAAAGAGTACATTACTGGGAAGCCCATTTGATGCTACAGCTCCAGAAGACAGGCCTGGCTCACCTCACAAATGCATGGTGGGACCAGCCAGAGAGACAATGAAACACAGTCACCACTGCTTTCCTTATACAGCAGTTTGATTGAACCACCTGTTGAATGCCTGTTGAATCAACCACAAGAGAAATGTCAACACCACACAGTTATTAAACACCCATGGCTTGATCCACTAGTATCTCCCATGATTGTGGCTCCACTAAGATAAACAGGGAGACTTAACCAGAAGCTAAACTTACCCACTTGTCCTTAGCACGAGACGCATTTGTCACAGGTTTCCCATCTCCTGTAAGAGACCTTCCAATACTAAGCTGCAAGTGATAACTGTGCAAGGGGGTTATTCTTGGCCTGAAGCACAGAAAGGCAGCTATGTGGATAAACTCTGCTGCAGCTATGGAGAGTTTGGGATATAAGTCACAAATCAGGACTTTTTCCTCACCATCTGCATTGATCAGCAAGGTATCATCTCCTCATGCACAGCTACATTTACTGAGATTTATGTGGATTTAACACCACACATCAGGGAAAATCCAGTGGCAGCAGTGAAATACCAATGCTAACCCACTAACAGGAAAATATACTTCCAACAGCAGAGTTTCTGGCAGGAGCCTTCACAACAGGAAAACAATAAACAGCATTAGGACTGTGACATCCACTGATCTGCAGTGGGTGATCTGATCTGAGGTGCCTTCAACGGTGTCATACTGCTGTCCTCTAATATTCCTCCATCAGATTCCATGCCACATCTATCAGCAGCATTCCCAGCATGCCTTTATTTCCTCTCCTCAAGAAGCATACAAACGATCTGTCCAACACTTCAACAATCCAGTTTAATTACCAGCACTTCCTTGCTGCTGGCTGCCAAGCCTGTACGCATACACGTGGGTAGCAGGAATGAGACGCAGCCCTGCTCCAACTAGTGAGGATCTGCCAATCTACATCCAGCTGTCACACTGATTTGCTCACTGGGTTTCCTGGCTGAACCTTGTCTGGAGAAGGTGGGGGGTGGCCCCAGTGATCTGGCAGCAGAGTCCTCACAGTCTTAAATGTCACCTGTTTACAGTCCTGGAACAGCTTTACAGTGGATAAATGCCTCTGGGGAGCCCTGAATTAAATGGCAGGAAGTAAGCCAGATAGGAAAAGGGAGAGACCCTGAAACACAAAGCATGAGAGACAAGAGAAGGACAGATCAGTCTCCATCTCCAGGGCTTTACAGAAGCTGTGTGATGTGCCTGATGTGTTGATGCACACGGAAGGAGATGTAATCATGTTCTTGCCTCCTATCATACCTCCAAGTGACAGGGGACAATGGCAACTCCACACCTGTGTCCAAAGTAACAGGTCATTTCAACTTTTGAGCAAAGGAAGGGCAGACATATCAGAGCCCTGGACTAAAGGAATAAACCAGTCTACATGATCTCTATCTGTACAGTGCAAAACCAAGAATAACACAGCATGAGTGAAATCCCAGCCCTATTTTGTTGGAGAAGCAGTGACAACGTACCACCTCATCAGCCTGAGCCCAGTCACTTTAGCATCACAATGTAGAAGAGGGATTAAATTTCCCAAAGTCACTAGAAACAATTTTCTTAGGGTAACTGTTTGTAAAGTCAAGATGTTTTAGCCATTTTTAATCAAAATGGACTCTTAGAAATTTCCCTTTCCCAACAGGAAAGACAGCCTTTTTTTTCCTGGTTTAGTGGATGCATACACCAATATGCAAATAAGTGGAGGTACCTCCAAATAGCTTAGTGTAAAAGGAAGAAGTCACAAATCCTAAAAATGTGTCCTGCTGAAAGGAAACATATGGATGACTGCAGTAATTATAACCTATAAGACAAGCACTGCCCACCTCCCAGCCCCCATATTCAAAGAGGCTATAATCCAGCCTTCCATGCTGGAGACTTCCATCCATTCCAAAGGGAGCTCTGTACTGGGTCTCATTGGTTCAGTCTCCCACCCCAGACATTCCCCCAGGTTGAAGATCCACTTACCTGCCTGGTTTGTCGTTACATTTACAGACACAAACTGCCGTGCTCCAGGGCTCTGGTCGGACACTCCATTCACTGCCTCAATTTCAAAGGTATAGTTTGTATGAGCAAGCAGATCCACCATCATGACAGAGGTGTTTTTCAGGCCGGTTTGCTGGGGGAGGTACCTGACATGACCACCACATGCCTCACACAGACCCGAGTGTGAGCTGCACTTCTTGCATGCAATATAATAAGATACATCTTGCCTTCCACCAGTATCAGCAGGGGGAATCCATTCCAGAAAGACACTAGTCTCGTTAATATTTGAGATGGCACTCCGAGGAGCAGAGGGGGGTCCTGGTTTGTAAAGTGAGAAAAACACATAGTAAAAACAGTATCATCAGTCATCCTGCTCACTACTGCTCTCTAGACTGAAAAGAGATGCCCTGTTGCTCATGTGTCAGAAAGTACACAGGGATCATTTGCAACAACACCTGAAGAACCAGGAAAACAAGAATTTGATTTTAGCACTCTCACCTCACTCAAGAGATTTGTGTTGGGATGCAGTCACCTATGTGGCAGGACAGGACACAGGGCTGTCTCAAACCCAAGAGGAGGAGTACTGCACCCTGGGGCATTGTCTCTGATGCTCTCCTTGCTCTTCCTGTGAAGGGATTAGCAAGTCTTTGCCTTGTCCAAGTCACTGTTGGCTTCACCAACAAGAGGCAAGATTCCTCCTCCTCACCCCGTTGCCCCTTAGTGGTATCAATACCACAAAGTCCTAAAAAAAAGACACATACTGGGGTTTTCACACCACCCAGGTACTCAACTCAGACACCAACTCTTTCCTCTGTATGCACCCGCCTCTTCCCATCAGTCATTTGGCAGCAATGAAACCAAAGCTTAGGTATCCAAATCACACTTAAGAGAGACACTTGATGTAGCCCAAAGCAGATGGTGATCTACATGGGCCACTGGAAACATGGCTGTATCCAGCCACTCCATGACAGCCCTCCTGGTCCCCACCAGGCTGTAGAACAGCTGGTTACTCATACAGCACTTGCTTACTTTGCCAAGCCTCTCTGTTCAGGATGCCAGCCTGGCACTGGCAAGGCTATCCAAGGAGAAACAGCTGCTGCAGAGGTACCAGAGCACCTGCAAAAAGTGGGCTGCTTCTCTTCATCCTGGTGGGAAAGGCCATGACTGGGCAAGCAAAGCCCACCTGGAGGCACCTTCAAGACTCGCTTCCTTGCAGAAGGTGCTGCAAGGCTTTTGTTTTTAACAGGCTTGTGTTGCAGATGAAGGGCAAGCTGAAGACAATGAAGGACAAGAAGGAGTCTCATGCAAGATATCCTCATGTTAATACTCAGGGAATGCTAATGAATGAAGTAGAAAGAGGAAATTTATCGAAGCAAGCCAGGATGGATTTTAGTCACAGCACCACCAGAAACTATACAGCAAAGGCTGGGATTTTTGCAAGGGAAGGCAACACAACATACTCCTCTTCAGTTTGAATTAAGTTGTCAAAACCCATGGGCAGTTCCTTGAAAAGAGTCCAACAAGCAGCTTCACTAGGTAGACATCCATACGAATCTAACAGGCTGACTTAGACTGTCATCTTCTCGTTTTGTTGTGATAACTAAACTTCATTCGTTATTTAAAACAGGCAGTGTTGTAAAAATGAAATCACCTTATAAACCAGAAGCATTCTCCTCCATGTCCTTTTTCTATTCCTCTCTCTGAATCTATAAAATTTGTAACACTGCTGAACTGAAATATGTCATGCTTTTGACTCAAGCTCTTCTGATTCAATGAGAAACTCATTGCCAGAGGAAATACATAATCCTGATGTGTTTTTTTTATTTTTTCAGAGGAAAAGGAGAAGAAAAAAGCTAAGTTAGCTTAGGAAATGCCAGATCATCTTTGTTTTGTTCTGTGATCTCTTCAGATCCCTACTTACAGGGAGCAATCCACTCCCAAGCTGCACTCCAGGGATCCAGCACTATATAGCTAATGACATCAACATACAGTCCAAGTCAGGACTATTTTCTGCAGTGTCATACTTGTACTGATATAATGGAAACTATGGAATTCATCACCGGAGCTGAATGGAGTTATATGTATTACACTTGAGGATTTTTTATATGTTTGTTACTGCTTAAATTGCCCTATTTTTTCTTCCACTGGATGAATGCCCTTTTGCTGATGCCAGTACTCTTGGAAGAAAGAAAGAACTCAGGCACAAGAAACACTTACTGGGCAATGTGTCTTTAATGGGGGATAAATCATTACTTTAGTAATGTCACCAGAGATTTTTACTTGCTTTGTACAGAAAAGTCAGCTAAGCTTCTTGAAGGCTTAAAAACATCAGCTTCAGTGATTTAAAACTGTGGGACTTATAACCTATAAAATTAGCATTCTCACAGGGCCTCACAGAAAGGCCTTTAGTATTCTACAGATATCTAACAAGACCTACTTGAAGAATCCTGCAACTGTACCTGAATAAAACTTGGCTAAACCCCAGCTGGGAGAACAAAAAGGTGTTTTACCTTCAGAATAGGGGGCCCTAGATCTGCTAAGGTGGTCTGCTTTAATTTCCAAACCCCCATTGTCAAAGGCACAGATATAAGTCTACAGACTTTTAAAAAGATATATATAGTTTTTGAATTTGCTACTTTATACCCTAAGATTCACCCCTTTCACATCACTGTTTTCTGACAACAGGCAAATACTTTCTGAAAACAAAGATATCGGTGTTTTTCTTGATGGATAGCAAACCTGTTGTTTATGATGCACATATTTTAGAAATATAACCTAAGAGAGAAATTACTCTCAAGATATAAATATATGCATAAAACCACTCAAAGTTAACTGTGAACTTTTTGCAAGTATACTATTACAGTAAATATAATAAAGTCTTAAATTTGTCCCATGTGTCATAAAACTACAAATATTTCCCCAACATGCTCTGAACAACAATAAGGCTACTTCTTAGACACATGAGGAGAAAAGAAAAAGGTGCAATTGTTTTGGTTTTAAAGAAATGTTGTGCAAGGAACTGAAGCTAGGATTACTTAGTTAAGAAGAGAAAAAATGCAATTACTTCATGGAAGATACATAATAATATTAAGAGAATTCTCAAACGTCTATCAGGACCAAAATTTTTTCTTTTTTGTCTGAGAGCACTAATTATTTCAGACTGTATCACAGTACTATTAATTTCAAAATTACCAGTCATTACTTATAAAACATACTTAATGATCTGGAAAAATTGAACAGAAATGTATTCCTCCCTCGCCCTGTATTTAACTGAGCAAGTGACAGTGATATAGCAGCTAGTTTTCTTCAGTGATACTGCTGGTGGTGGTGAAGATTCATGAAGCTTGGAACTGAAAAACACTCACTTTAAATTAGGAAAATGTGATTTTACAGCTATACTGAGTGGCAAGGGGACTTTGCAGGTGTAGACCTGAAAAGAGACATTGATGTATTCTCTAAAATTAACTGCATTTCTTATTGAAGAAATCCTATGAATATTATTAATTTCTGTGACAATAAATAATAAAAACATTTTAAAAAGCCCCTTGCAGTATTTTTCTACCACTCATGACTCAAGTCTCTCTCACTTGTGTTCTAGTTCATGAAGCTGTTGCCTTCCAGATGTAACTGGACTGATTTGAAACACCAGTGTCACTACCTATCTTTACTGCCCCGACAAAATTTTCTACCCCAGCTGCTGAGCTAGTGCATCACCTTCAGCACAAATACAGCAGTATTAGAAAATCCTAAGAAAAGATGCATAGGGAAAGTGAGGTTGACAGAAGCACATGGAGAAGGCTCAGATATTCCACCCTGCTTTTGGAGTGATAGGCGTGAATGCTAGCAGAGGTGCTGCAATGTCCTCAAGTGTGGCTCTAGGGTTTGCAGAAACAGAAGCTGAGCTGTGCTTTGATCAGTATTAAACTTCTCATCTGCCCCAGAAGGACTCAGTACTCTGCCAAGCCATATCCTAACACAGCTTCAGGCACCATGTCTGGGCTTTAAACTAGCTTACCATAAGCTCTCAAAACAAAAGTAAAACCCACCCTGAAAGAAAACCACCCAATGAGTAAAAGCCAGCAAACTTAGACAGTGACCACCAATAAATAAGCACAAAAACCCCAAACAAACATAAAAAAGAAAATCCCATGGCATTTGTGGAGTCGGAAATTACAGCCTTCACTAGAGAGTTTGAACTGCGCTATAAGCCTGGGACAGACAGCCTCCTGAACTTCATTTGTTTTTAACAAGAGTTGTTCACCTCACTTGCTTGTGCCTCTCTGAACCCTGCTGATGCTGCTCAGGCCATAGGCATGCATAAACATCTTCCTCTGGGATGGCAGTTCCTTCCCTGCTCTAATGCAGCAGGCGAGATTGGATGTGTACCCTTCCATTCTGAGAAGAGCAGAGAGCAACGTCATTGATGGTGGGCAGGAGGCACAGTAGTCTGGCTTAACTCTCTCTCAGTTGTTGGTTTTGTTTCTGTCTGCACAGAAAAGCCTTTATGAGTGTTCCCAGAGCTCAGTGTGTTTTCCAATACCATGCCGGACCACATTTATCTGAGTTTTTAAAGTCAGGCTAAGTGGCAAAATGAACATCAAGAAATGCTGATATCAGTTTTTTCATGCCAAAACTCACTCCGGCTACGTCTCCAAAAGACTCCGGCATACCTATTTAATAAAACTGGGAAGTGCTTGCATGACTCACCCCCCGCCCAGACCTCTTTGATCTGACAGCACCAGTGACTCCAATGCTGCCTAAGGCTACCTTCTCCTTCCCTGCAGCTGCATCCCTGCAGCTTCCAACAGTCACGCTCCTTTGCCTGGTGAAAATCGAAGGCAGAGTTCAAGGGGCCTGATTCTGCTCCAAGTGCTTCCTGCAGGCAAGGCTGTGAGCTGCCAAGGGCAATTTTCTTTGAGAGAGTGTGTCTCCAACAGGAACAGACCTTTTCTTTCTCTTTTTGAAGTGCAAACTTTGGAAGCTAGGAAGGACATCTGTATTAACTGGGAAACGCACTAAAACTGCTGCCATCCCTACATGATGCAAAATACTTCCTTACAGTATGGAAGTCACCACTGCACCATCATCCAGTAGCTCTGAAAATGTATGGAGTAATTTTCCTCCATTGCTTAAGTTTTTCATACTTTCTCCCTCCATTGCTTAAGTTTCTTGGAAGCTCCAAATGGTCCTGCACCAGTAGTTCAGCTCCATTTCAGTAATTTTCAACTACTTCTGCACTACAAAAATTACATTTGGAGTATGACAGTCCCAGCTCAGATCTGCGCTATACTCAGCAGGACTAGCTGGAGGCATGGAAATTGTGGTGTTAAATAAACTGAGCAAGGGACTTACAAGGTACAGCTGAAAGGACAGCTCATGGATGCAAGGAGAAAGCTAAAATTAGTGATTCTGATTACACCAACTCCACTCTGGACTCCCTGTAACCCAATGTGCCTGTTATACTGCGTGCCTCTGACACCCAGGGGATAAGTTCTACATTTTGGAGAAGCAGTTTCCATCACAGAGTTTTGAGAAGAGTGACCATCTCCAGGCAGACGGGAAAGACAGGGCTCTCTCTCAGCTTGTTTACTGAAAATGAAATACAAGATGACACCAAGCAGGACCATGGAGATTCTAGCCATGCCTATTGCTGGCAAGGACTACCTGTTGTTTATTCCGTGTGTGTGCACCACGCTAGTACCCATGCACACACTGACACGGATATCTGATGCCATGCTGCTGGCTGAGTCCACCCAGGAGTGAAGGGGGGACAGATTGAGCATTTGCTCATTACAAAAACTCTTTCTGACTTGGTTGCCAGCTTTCAAAGCAAAAAGCACCAAAAAGTCCCTTCTTGTGTAGTCAGAAGTACAGTAGACAAAGACAGTAGCATTACAAGTGTATCAAGACTAATTCAGACTCCAGAGCCTGAAAAAGAACATTAGTAAGTATCACAATGTCTAGTCACAGTACAGGAACAGCTTGAAAGGATTAAAAACAACCCTATAAGCACACGCTTACTTGTACAGGCCATTGTAGGTGGGTCTGATTCCTTCCTAAAATAGTGTTCTTCACACAGGCAAGACGTGGATGCTTCATCAAGTGTGTAGCTGTGAGGGGGGCATTTGCTGCAGGATGGACTGTGGGGTGAAGCTTTGAAGAACCCAGGTCTGCATACTGTGAAAAGAAGAACCACAGGCTAAGCTCTCCCATCATAAAATTAGTCTCTTCACATTTCCTTTTAAAAAAACCCCATATCTTCAGCTATAAAACTGACAAATATTCACGAGCTGTTTAGTTCACATATTTTAAAACAGTCTATGCCACTAACAGATAGTGCATACTTAAATATCTGCATGCAAAGAGAATGTGAATTTGTTGATTATTTCTTTTGCCTAGCCTCTGCCATTGCTGGGTATTTATTTTTCTTGTTGAATGCATTAGAAGTAACATCATCTGGGCTCTGCTTTAGAAAACATTACTGTGATTTTTTTTCCTTTTTTTTTTTGTTCAGTCTTAGCAAAACAGGTAGAATGCGTTTAATGTTTTTTGTTTAAGATGTTCTACACCCAGAAGTCAATGTCTCAGCAAGCAAATAACAACACAGTCGTGGAGGGGATCTCAAGATCGACATCTTTAAGACATTGTGATAAGGCTACTTCCCTAGGGTCTTCCCCCATGCAAACCTGTGATGAATTTTAAAGTGCTCCATATGACAGGCTATTCTGGGTATAGTCTGAACCAGGCATGCTCACCACACAAGACATTTCTTCCAGCTCTAATACATATGCATGACGAGGCACAAGGACTTGATCTGAGATACTTTTTTTCTTATAACGGCTTACCCATGGCTTTTCTTACCCATAGCTATGGGTAGTTTGGGAATTTTTTTTAAGTAGTTTGAGATTAATACAGTAATATCTTGTTTCCATCCTCCTGAAACAAGTGCTTTTTCACCTATGCAAAGCTCTCTGCACTTCACCTGTGTGTGCAAACTCAGCCAGAAGCAGTGACAGCCACAGGTTTGCAAGTGCTTTTTTTTTTTAGGGAAAAAACCCATCTGGCTCTGTATAACATTATATACAGAATTACAAACGCACTGTTAACAAAAGGAGGAAATGCCGATTTTCTGTTTGTCTCAAAAAGCACAGACACAGAGACATGTTAAAGCAGCTCTAAAGTGCTGTTACCTTTCTTCCTTCTGAATTGCTTTAAAATATTTCTGCTTACTAGGATATTAATCATCTTGTATTAGACTTGAAGAAGTTACCTGGAAATTTCAGAGCCTTTCCACCTGCATTCAACAACTCTCCCAGTTGTAATTAGCTTGCAAAGAAAATGGGTTCACGGCAAAAGCATTAATATTATCCCATCAGGTATGTCCCAGACAATCACGTTTTAGCATGTGCTAAAACTCAGCAAGTGATGACAGAATTCATCTTCACGGTAGGTAAAAGTACAGGTTTTTACTAGTGATGCCTTTCCTCCGATGGACCAACTAGGACAACTATTTCTAAGGTTGGCTCTGCTTTCTGCAGTTTCAGAGAAACTCCCTTGGCATCTTCTCTTTTATGTCAGTAGTTTCTTCACCGAAGGTGAGACACTCGCATATCAATTCCCAACTCCCAGAGCTGAACAGAAGTCTTTGGTGATGAAGATCACTCATGCATCGAATGTGTGATTCAAGAGCATCCAACAGACCTCCACCGGGCCCCACCTCCACAGCCTTTCCCAGATTACACACCTCTCACAGCAGGCACCACACAGCCCTGAAGCAGGTCCCAAGCCCAGCACAGGCTGCCAGGTCACCATCATGGATCTGCAGCCTCTCTACCCTGCTGTAGGGGGTGATCATCCACTCTACCTCCCCAAACCAAGCATCCTCCCACACTCTTCTACAGCTTTCCTTTCTTCCCACAAGATAGGCAGAGAACAACTGGTTGGACTGGAGGGATTTACAGGTTTTAAAAACCCATTTTCCAAGATTGCTCATCATCCTACTAGTGTTCCATTCCTAGGCTGTGGTATCCATCTGCAGGATGCAGTTGTTCTGCTTTGTGCCCAGACACCAGGACCAGTGAACAGATCTAAGGCTGAATCTGTTCTTGATGGCTTTTAGCAGACATGCCACAAGATGCCCTCATGCTTGATGGCACATCCCTCAGTTTCCAGCATATACTTAAGTTCTTTTATTTACTTTATGTTGGGGGTTGAATGCTTCCCTTTTCTTTCTGTGGAATTTCTCCCATTGTTATGCTAAGTAGTTGTGGCTACACCTTAAAACGATAGATAATGTTCTCTAGTAGGGGCTCCGATCTGGCATCTCCCCCTGCCATCCCAGCACTGAGATCCACGCTCCCTGCCATTGGACATCGCTCTGCTGCTCTCCGACCTCACCCTACTATCTCCGGACACTCTGCTGAGCACCACGACCTACACCGTGAGGGGGAGTCACTTTCCCATCCCTCTCACCCCTGGGCCGCTGCCGCCATCACCCAGCCCTCTTCAACTGCGCGGGACCTGCCCTGCCCCCAGCGCCGGTGTCTGAGCGCAGGGAGACGGCCTGCGGCCAGAAGGGACTGGAGCTGAGCCATACTGTTCTGTTCTGTTGTCAATTTTTATAGCTGTTGTTTTTTTTCTGCCTTGTTGGATATCAGTAAAGAACTGTTACCCTTATCCCCGCATCTCCTGCCTGAAGGCCTCTGATTTGGACCTAAAATAATTAAAAGGGAGGGGGTTGCATTCCGCATCTCAGGAAGGGGGCTCTTGCCTTTCCTTAGATCATACCTGTCTTTCAAACCAAAACACTTTACAATCACCTTCAAATGCTGCCCTACCTACAGCAAGGACTGTTATATAGTCTCTGGAGAGTCTTCTGGGATAGCAGACCACCAAATGGTTCCTCTCAAGCCTACAATTTGTATTTCAAAGCCAAATCAAACACCTTGCACATGCAGACAACAGAGATGGGGAAATGAAAGCATGAAAATGTGCAACATGTAACGACAGCAGCGCACATCTAGCGTGCACTCAATGTAATTAGCCCTCAAAAAAAGGACCAGAATTTATCTCATTATGTTCTATCAAGACAGACAGAAAATCATTACAGCACAAGCGTTTACTGTGCTTCTATTTGTGCAGCAAATGCAAAATAAGTCAGTTTTTCTTGACAGATTTTAAATGAGGTGAAGCTTGTTGATGATGGTATGATACGCAGCTCAGCTCAAAAGGAATGTGTGGTTTTCATGAATAAATATGGAGCCAAGAGTTGCACAAGGCAAATAATCCGTGTTTTAATGAGAGATGTGAAATAGAACTGACTAATTTTTACATAAACCGCAGGCTCTCATGTGTCAGGTAAGTCCCATTTCTATTCAAAAAGTATTAGGAGGAATACTCAAGAACATTACATTAAACTGAAGATTTCAGCATGAGTCCTCAAAACAAACAGACAGCGGAGCAGCATCCTGCTGGACCAAGGTGAAATATTCCAGTTAGAAAGGAAGAATTCAGGGACAGGAGATGGAAAACGCAGAAAAGGGGAGTATAGAAAATAAAAATAAATGCATGAAATGCCACATGAATGGTGTTGGCTGAATCCACACACCCGCAGCAGATGCTTTGGGGACGACAGGGGGATTTGCAGGGTTCCCCCAGCACAATCTTCCAGGCTCTCGTGAACAGCTGCTCCTGATGGAAACCACACTTGCACTAACCATGCTCAAGAACAGAAGCAGCTGTAGCTGCATGGGTGTCTCAGGCACAAGTTATATCTATTACAACACTTCCCTCTGTATCCTTTCCTGTGTTTGTTTTGTGCACAACACAAAGGAGAGGACAGCCTGTGAAATGGTTCAAGCAGCAACTGTCCAACAGACAGAGAAGCCGTGATGAAACGGACCCTGTTTAGATGAAAGCTAACCCAGGAGCACCCTACCCTCCACACTGCAGAGCAAGTATCACAGTAGGTGGATGAGCTCACTTTGGCTGAGCTGAACAGCCAAAAGCAGGAGCTGGTACCCTGTCCGTTTTCTGCCACTGGTGGTAATGTCTCAGACATTTTGCAAATTTGTTTCAGAGCAGAACAGGGCCAAAACCAACTTACCTTGCAGGTATCTTGGGTTTTGGTCTCTATCTTACCATTCCTCTTCTGACAGTCAATCTTATAATCTCTTAATGAAGTATACATGACTTTAAAATTATATGGGTGTCTGGTGTTTAATTCCTAATTAAATCTTATTTTAGTTTTCTTATATTTTTCTCTCAGTATTTCCAATTCATCAGCTGTTGAAAGGATACATAGAACTGGGACAGTACAGTCATACAGATAATGTTACTATCTCTCTTTTAAAGGGGATAGGAAAGAAGGAGAAATAAAATGAGCTTAAGACTCCCCATAATCTGCTGCAAACCAGCTGAAAAGAAATGAAGTCAAGTTTGAAGCTGTTGAAGAGATCTGTTTCTTTCTTCTTAATATTAAAACTGTTTAACTGAGTAACAGCCAGTGGTGTGTGAAAACAGACTTTAAATTAAATTGGTCTCTAGAAAAAAAAAATTATTTTTAGAGACAGCAAATATGCCATAAACAGCCTGCTAGTGTCAGGTACAAGTGGGATGTGTTTCTGTTAGTAGCACATCCATTATTAGCAAATAAATTTCACTCATTTTTAATAGTAACCACAAAATGTGGCATGCACAGAGCATTAACATCTCTGTACCCTCTTGCTGCACACTTTAAAAGGACCAGAGAGAGATGCCATGGGGAAGGATGGCAGCAAGAGCATCTTGGGATTGCAATGGCATGATCTCTTAAACCAACAGCAATTGGATTAGAAACTGTCTTTGTACCTTGTAGAGGGAAGTCCACAAGAGCCATGCTGAAAACACTGGAAGGAATGTGGGTGGATGAAAGTAGGACCACTGGTCCTCTTACACTGAAAACTGGCCTCTGCAAACAACATGCTGAATGTGCTAATACCAGTAGTAGAAACAGTGAGTACCAGTGAGGAGACAAAGCAAAAAGAGGGGAGAACAAGCCAGTAACACCAACCACCTGGGACTACTTGCCAGATTATTTTCTGCAAGCCTTAACATCAAATGATTTGCGGCTGCATCCCTGTAACCATCACTTCCCTGAGCTTTGACTGAAGACTGCAGCCAACAGGCAGGGCTACTCT